TTCATGGGGTTCTAGGGCAGTTGGTGGGGTGATGGTTGTGGCTCTGGCTGATTGGCTGGATCTAGGGGTAGTTGGTGGGGTGATAGGTCGTGGCTCTGGTCAATTGGCAGGGTCTAAGGGTGGTAGGTGAGCTCTTTGCTGACTGGAGAGGAGAGAGACCAAGCTCCGATTGGGTGAAATAGGATCCGGGTCCCGATTGGCTGAGGTAGGATCCGGGTCCCAATTGGCTGAAATAGAATCTGGGAGCTTGCCCTTTCAATAACAAGATTTACATTACTGCCAAAACCTAGCCCATACTCGTGAAAGTACCTGCATAATCTTATTCAAAACGTCTCCAAATATATTCTTCTCAGCTTCCTCCCTTATATTTTTTATTTGTTCAGCATGGTACTCCTTCAGCAATTTTATTTTTTTCTGCTTTTCCTCTGATTTATGAACATATTCCTTTTCTACTAGTTTCAGTTCTTCTTCTAAGTGTTCAGCGTAGATTTTCTTCAGGTCTTCAGCCTGGCGTTTCAGCCTCTCCTCCACGTGCTTGTAGATGGCGTCAGAGAAGTAAGCCCCTCCGTTGCTCTGCACCGTTTTCTCTATCAGCTCCACCAGCTCCTGCACTTGAGCTTCCTTCTCAGCGTCGCCTGCCCTGTTGCTGAAGGCACAGAAGCGGTTCCCGCACTCCTTGAGGATGCTCCTTAGCTTCACGTCCCCACCTGCTATAAAGGCACTCAGGCTCTGATCCCCCAAATCATCTTTGCGGGTGAACAAGATGACCATGTGCTTCATGGCTGGCCTGCCGAAGACGCTCTTGATCAGGGCCACGGTTTTCTGCTCTTCTGGCGTGTAGCGGCCCAGCTGCAGAACCATGATGATGGCGTGGGGCCCGGGGCAGGAGGAGATGACGCACTGGCTGATTTCCTTGCACATGGTTTTCAGGGTCTCCTTGGTGTCGAAGAGCCCTGGGGTGTCCACAACAAGAAGGTTCCTCCCCTTCCACTCCCGCGATGCTTTCTGACAGTGCTGGGTGACGGCCTGGGCAGCAATTCTGGAAGGAAATACTTCTTTCCCAAGGATGGTGTTTGCTGTTGCACTCTTGCCACTTCCCGTTTTCCCCACCAGAACGATCCTCAGGGTGTTGTCCTGAGGGTCAGCCATGTTCCTATTTGGACTAGAGGCCACTTAACTATAGTTTATAAATAAAAGGAAAAAGTTTATTTAGATAGAGTTGAACCCATGCCCAAGGCCTCTTAATTTCTTACCCGCCTGAGTACATGAATCATCCCAGGTCTTCTCAGCCAGGTGAAATTTGATTTCCTTTAGGGCTCTCTCCCCAGCATCGTCTTCTTCTAGTTTCCATTGCAGTCCTTGCTTCTGTTCCTGGGATGAAAGCAGTGTTTACACATTCAAAATCTGTTTGGTTTTTTTACTATCTTTTTTTCCATTTGTGTAATATATGTTTTGTTCTGGAACAGATCCAAGTTTGGTTTTTTAAGATATTTAATCTGAGGTTTCCTGGTGGAAGCGACTGGCACTCCATCCTGCGAAAGTGTGCTCATAAGAAGCATTAGCACTGCAGAAGGCTGTCTCTGACTAGGATGGAGGAAACAGCACAAGTGTATCTCATTTTATGTGCGTGACCCGCACGTGGGGACTCATCATGGAAGGAAAAAGCCATTCGGTGAGAGATGTGAAAGCTGTCTTTGAAGTTGTATATGGCATACAGAGCTGAGTTATTTTCCTATTTTCTCAAGCTGCACAGGAAAAGGAAGATAAATTTGATGTCATTATTTGAAAAATACTCCAATATTTAGAAATAATAATGGGTCCTTTATAGGAATATAAAGTGTTTGAAGTGAGTTTAATGTTCATCTGGCTCAACATTATAGCTTACCCTATATTGGGTGAGAGAAGAGATCGGCCAATATCCAAATTTTAAATTACATATAGGTAAATACAACTTAGTAATATTGACCCCAGGGAAGATATAAAATTGAAATAGACCAATGACGAGGGAAGATATGCTACAGAAATCAGCTGAAGGGCTCCATTGACATTTTTCACTGAACTAGAGCAAATAATCCTAAAATTCATATGGAACCACAGAAGACCCAGAATAGCCAAAGCAATCCTAAGAAAGAAGAACAAAGCTGAAGGTATCATGCTCCCTGGTTTCAAACTCTACTATAAAGCTACAGTAATCAGCACAGTATAGGATTGACACAAAAACAGACACATAGACCAATGGGACAGAATAGAGAGCCCAGAAATAAAACCAGCCTGTATGGTCACTTAATCTATGACAAAAGAGGCAAGAATATACACTGGGGAAAAGACAGTCTCTTTAATAAATGCTTTTGGGAAAACAGGACAGCTACATACAGAAGAAGGAAGCTGGATTACTGTCTTACACCACACACCAAAATAAACTCAAAGTAGATTAAAGACCTGAACATAAGACCTGAAACCACAAAACTCTTAGAAGAAAACATATGCAGTTAACTCTTGAACATCAACATTATAAGTTATTTTCTGGATATATCTCCCCAGGCAAGGGAAACAAAAGCAAAAATAAACAAGTGGGACTACATCAAACTACAAAGCTGCCAGTAAAGGGAGCCATGAACAAAACAAAAAGGCAACCTGCTCTACTGGAGAATACATTTACAAATGATGTATCTGATAAGGGGCTAATATTCAAAATGTATAAGGAACTCCTAACCTCACATGAAAAGATGCTCCATATGGCTAATTATCAGGGAAATGCAAATTAAAACCACAATGAGATATCACCTCACACCAGTAAGGATGGCCAACATAGAAAAGACTAGGAACAACAAATGTTGACAAGGATGCGGAGAAAGGGGAACCCTCCTACACTGCTGGTGGGACTGTAAACTAGTTCAACCATTGTGGAAAGCAGTATGGAGGTTCCTCAAAAAACTCAAAATAGAAATATCATTTGACCCAGGAATTCCACTCCTAGGAATTTACCCTAAGAATGCAGGAGCCCAGTTTGAAAAAGATATATACACACCTATGTTTATTGCAGCACTATTTTCAATAACCAAGAAATGGAAGCAACCTAAGTGTCCATCAGTAGATGAATGGATAAAGAAGAGGTGGTACATATACACAATGGAATATTATTCAGTCATAAGAAGAAAACAAATCCTACCATTTGCAACAACATGGATGGAGCTAGAGGGCATTATGCTCAGTGAAATAAGCCAGGCAGAGAAAGACAAGTACCAAATGATTTACTCATCTGTGGAGTATAAGAACAAAGAAAAAACTGAAGGAACAAAACAGCAGCAGACTCACAGAACCCAAGACTGGACTAAGAGTTGCCAAAGGGAAAGGGACTGTGGGTGGTGGGGAGAGAGAGAGAAGGGGAATAAGGGGCATTGCTATTAGTGCACATAATGTAGCAGGGGTAGGGGCACGGGGAAGGCAGTATAGCACAGAGAAGACAAGTAGTGATTCTATAGCATCTTACTACGCTGATGGACAGTGACTGTAATGGGGTATGTGGTGGGGACTTGATAATGGGGGAAATCTAGTAACCACAATGTTGCTCATATAATTGTATATTAATGATACCAAAATAAAAAAAAAAGAACTCATAACTAAACACCAAAAAAACAAATGATCTGATTAAAAGAGGGGCAGAGGACCTGAATAGACATTTTTCCAAAAAAGACATACAGATGGCCAACACACACATGGAAAGATGTTCAACATCACTAATCATCAGGGAAATGCAAATCAAAACCACAGTGAGGTATCACTTCACATCAGTCAGAATGGCTGGTATCAATAAGACAAGAAATAATAATTGTTGGCAAGGACGTGGAGAAAAGGGCATTTTCCTACACTGCCGGTGGGAGTGCAAGTTAGTGCAGACACTATCGAAAGCAGTATGGAGGTTTCTCAAGAAACTTAAAATAGAAATACCATACACCCATCAATTCCTTCTGGGAATCTACCTGAAGAAAAATCATTAATTTGAAAAGATACGCACCCTATGTTTGTTGCAGCATTATTTTACAATTGCTAAGATATGAAAGCAGCCTAAATATATCCATCAGTAGATGAATGGATAAAGAAGATGTGGTACATATACACAATGGAATATTATTCAGTCAAAAAAAAGAGAGATCTTGCCATTTGTGATAACATGATGGACCTAGAGGGTATTACGCTCAGTAAAGTAAGTCAGCAGAGAAAGATCAATGCCATGTGGTTACACTTTATGTGGAATCTGAAAAACAAAACAAGTGAATCAAACAAGCAAAACTGAAATAGACTCATGTACACAGAGAACAGGCTGTTGATTACCATACGAGGGGGATGGGAGGACAGGTGAAATAGGTGAAATGGATGAAGAGGTACAAACTTCAAATTATGAAATAATTTAGTCACAGGGATGGAATATAGCACAGGAAATATAATTAATAATACTGTAATATCTTTGTATGATGACAGATGGTAACTATACCTACCATGTGAGCATTTAACAATGTTTATAATTGATTAATCACTAAGTTGTTCATCTGAAACCAATACTGTATTGTATAGAAACCATATTTCAATTTAAAAATCATTAAAAAATGAAACCATATGACATTAGAAGAAAACAGGCAAATTCTTTCACTCATAGAAGAAAACAGGCAAATTCTTTCAAAACCTGAGTGAGGAAAACTTTCCTAAATTTAACTCAAAATACAAATGCCATGTGGAATAAAAGTGGTAAATTTGACCTCCAGTCTCCAGTTCCACATGTAAGGAGCTTAGAAGTCACCACGCCATCCCAATAGCCAGCAAAAGGCTGAACAGACTGAAAAATCAACAGCTCTGGGATCCCTAAGAGATCCCCGTGAAACACCAACAGGGCACACGGCTGACGCCAGCGTGCAGAGCCAGACAGGCAGATACCACGTGTCCTGCTTGCTAGAGCAGAGCCCACCGTGAGAGCCAGAGCCGGGCAGGAAGGCCTGAACGGTAATGACCAACTGCGGGAGGCCCCGTGTGGACAACTCCAAGGTCAAGAATTTGCAGGGGACCTAGTCGTGGGGGAGGATCTCCCATACTTTGGTGAGTTTTACGTCTAGGAGATCAACCAGGTTCTCCCAGTATATCAGAAAAGAAATCCCCTGGTGCTCACAGCATGGGGAGGAGAAAGGGACCCATTCTGAAATATGCCAGAGCGCTCTGCTCTCCTCAACAAGGCCTGTCCTCAGGAGGAGCTAGTTAGCCAGAGCTGTCCTGCCGGGGCTTTGTCACAGCCTAAGTGACCTGGGGAAGGAAATATCCAACTCTAGTCAGCTCTAAGCCTTCCCTATAGCAGAAGGGAAATGCTCAGCTCAGCCCCCTGGAGCCACCCCATCCTAGTGAAGCGGGGAGACAAAAATTGAGAGCCCACGTGAAGTTTGCAGTCCAGAGGCACAGGCTGTCTAACGCTGAGCTGTAGGCATGGGACTGTAGGACACTTCCTCCCCACACCCTGCCATCACATTGCTGAAGGCTTATCTTTCGTAGCAGCTCCTTTTATCCAGTAATACATCATGTCCGGCTATCAAGAATACACTGTAAGGCATACTAAAGGCAAAAAGCATACTTTGAAGAGACAGTAAGCATCAGAACCTGATGTGGGAGGAATGGTGGAATTATCAGACCAGGAATCTCAAACTATGACTCATATGCTAAGGGCGCTAACGGATGAAGTAAACAGCACACAAGAACAGCTGGGCAATGTGAACAGAGAGAGCGACATCCTAAGAAAGAGCCAAGAAGACATGCTTGCCAAGAACAGCGGAACAGAAATGAAGAGGGCCTTTGACGCCTCGTTAGACACGCCCAGATGACAGTCATCAACACCGCCTCCTGCCAGAAGAAACCAGGGACTCTTGGAGAAATGACTGATTCAAACAAAGTTCAGGGCAGGAAATGCATAAAATGACCTGGATCACTTCATTGGACTTCCTGTTTTTTTTTTTTTTACATCCTTATTCCAACAAAATAAATTATGAGATAATCCATGAAATCTAAACACTGTTGATAGGACATTTGATACAATTAAAGATTTATATACCTTTGGTATTCTGGCTATGTCTTTTAAAAATAATTTTTATCTTTTAAATATTCATACTAAAATATTTACAGATGAAATTACATGATATTTAGTATTTTCTTCAAAATAATCCAGGGCTAGGATGGGAAGTGGGTTGGGATATACATGAAACATGAATGGCCAGGAGTTGATCATTTTTGGAGCTTCGGGACAGATTTATGGGGGTTTGTTATGATGCTATCTCCCATAAATGCCTGAAATGGTCCATATTAAAAGGTTTAAGATTATGTGAATGTCTTTGTAACCACTCCTGAGTACATACTA